CCAGCGACTCCAATTACTAAACCTTTCCTATCCACACCATTCCCCGCTGCCATGGTGACCAGGTATACCAAACTTTTTTTCAATTATTTCATTCCCTCCCCAAAGTTTGGTCCCAGCCCATGGTGTTGCGTAATCAACTTGCTGCAATCTTGGCCGCCATAATCTCATTTTGCCTTAGGCAATCATTTAAAGACACGGTGCAGTCATGTACATGTATACCTAGGTGGATTTTATCTTTTGGCCAGTATGCCTACTGCTCAGCTGTATTCGCTTCATCTTGGGAGTGCGACATGGGGATGTGGCCTTACCGGGATGTGAGCCCGCCTCTCGCCATCGGAAGTACAGCTCGCTTGGCTCGTCTCTACAGAGTGACGACGACCCATACCTCGATCTGGTGAGCTGTGTCATGGGGATTTGCAGTCAAATGGGCGACCGGGTGAGGGGGGGGGGGGGGGGGGTGGTTGGTTGTATTTATTTTGATTCGCAAATTCAAACGGGCATAGAACCCAATAACAAGAAGGCGAATATGAAAATTATAATGAGAATGAGAATTAAAATAATAGCAATGAACAATATCAATTGTGCACTCATAACCATGTATAGGAATTGTTTCATTTTAATTGTTTATACATGGTTATGAGTGCACAATTGATATTGTTCATTGCTATTTTACGACTGTTGTCTCCTCGTCGGTTATTTAGAATGAGAATTAAAAGACTTAGATCTTCAGCGTAGAGTCAGCGGTACATCAGAGGGAAATCGGGTACATCAGAAAGAGAACCGCAAAAAAAGAAGATTTCGCTTGTCTTCAGCATTACAGGTACAGGTAAGGGGATTACCTGCGTGCGAAATTGGCAAACCGCCGAGCGTCATGGATGGCACGGATGACGCTGGGGAGGGCATTCCATAATACAGAGTGAAAGAAAAGTCAGGAGAAGTCTGAGAAAGAGAAGAAAGACGTGTGTGACCATAATCGTCCGGAATTGAACCCGCAACCCGTAGGCTCTCGATTGGAAACCGCTGCACATACCATCAGTCAGGAGCTAGCAGCGTGAGCGTCTTTGATGCACTCGTTGGGCAAGTCTCTGGCGCTCACGAGTAGCGCTCTCCTCCACCCATGCTATCCGAAGGTCGGTCAGAGCAGAGGCCATTGGAGATACGACCGTGATGTCACTGCTGCATGTGTGCTTCCCCGTCGGGGGGGGGGGGGTCGAACCCGCGACCTCTCGGTTTACAGGAGGCATGTGCAGTAGAGGAGACGGTTTCGAATAGGAAATAGGTTGCAAACCGGAAAGGCCTCAATATTCACCTTCCCTCTGGGTATTTTGATCTGAAAACATTCTTACTGAATTGTTACTACATGTACTAGCTTAAATAACCACCCTGCATCTAACCCTTGGCATGCCACATGTACAACGTGTTTTAGAGAATACATACAGTAGATTCAGTATAAAATTGGAAAGACGATCATCGAAAGAAGGAAAAAGGCAGCTCCATCAGCATGCAGCTGCGCATCAAAATCCAATGTAAAGATGGCGACCATGAACGACTGCGACGTGGATAAACTGCAAAACAAACTAGTGCAGCGACACCGACTCGACTGAGTAAAGAAGCGGAGAAGACGAAAACGGCAAGGAAAGCGGATCGCTACCATCGCTCAAATGCCACTAGCCTAGACTAGAGCGTGCATAGCGCATGCAGTCAAACGGTCACGTGATAAGTGCGTACACAAAATCATACGTCATCATAATAATAATGCAGTAGACAAAGAAAAGGAAACAGAGCTGGGCGCGAGGCAAACAAATCTGCAGAGCGCGAAAATAATATTAATAAACACATAATGTCATTGAACGAAGGATTTGTTTGAGAACAAAATGCACAGGCAGCCAAAGAAGAAACAGTTCGAAGCTAGAATCAATGTCCGTGTTTCTTAGAATCAATCATGGAGAAAGCTAACTAAGAGTAACTACCTCTGTCACGCAAGACCGGACCTAAACACCTACGAAGTAAGAATTGATGTGTTACGAGAAATACGTGTAATGAAATAGATTGGTATGCATTGCATCGTGACACAACTTGCCAAGCTGCATGTATGTGATTGTAAATGTACAAACAACATGCAACGTCGTAGTAAGCACAATCGTAACTCGTGAATTCCGTGCTGTTGACTCAAGGCAAGCAGTACCTCGTTTACACGCTGACAACGACGAACGAATTGATTAGACTCTGATAATATAATAATACTAATAATATGAAAGAACAACAAAACGTAAATGTCACCTACGATTACACAACAACATAATACGGAGCATCAGCAAATCGAATTTTCGATTTGATTATTCGAATGGCAAAAAGAAAATCAGAGAGAAAATTCGAATGAAAAAGAGGTTCAGCATGTAGCGCAGTCCAGTATTTTCGAATCGAGTTTTTTTAGCTTGAGCAGTTGAGGACTGGGATTTTGAGATGTGCAATGAACGGAGTTGCTGTTGTTTCTCATTGCCTTTGGGGATGACGCGAAGCGGCGGATGCTTCATCCGATTCAGGCTATTGGCGATAGGATCTCTCTTGGAGACCCCTTGAAAAGGCGGATCTCGGCCGAGCTCCTCCGCTATCCCTTGCATATCAGGAGACCCGCGGACGAATAGGTGAGGGTGGGCCCTACACTGCCTCAGCAGAATGAGATCCATGGTAAGGTCGACCCTCAAATATTTGGCACACTTTGAGTTGCCCTCTCCCTGCGGGGAACTCACCATAGACGGAGATGCCGAGACAACGCCAGCAGGGCTACTGCAGTACTGGGAGCAGGAGGCATACCGGGGCTGGTAGTTGGTGACAAAGCCATGATTCCAGGATACTTGAAATGAAACAAAATGCACACTTGATAAAACTACTTTTCACAGTTCGAGAGAGAGGAAAGCGTCAAGATTGACAAGAAGTCCGGACTAGTACTTTAGTAAGAACTAGTAGCTACATGCGCAAGAATGAGTACTCGTAGTGCGCCGTGTACTAGAGCACGCGCGGAGCATTCGAAAAGTATTCGAAAAGTATTTTCTGTTTGCGGGCATTTTTCAGTCGAACAAAGCCCTAGTTTCGACTGATTGAGTGCTTTTCGTGACGATTCTCGAATTTCATTCGAATATTCGATTTGCTGATGCTCCGTAATATTATGTCACAATGAGACTTTTTTTTTGTGAACTTTGTTTTACTTCGCAAAATCCAAACGGGAATTTCTTCCCAATGACAAGGTAGGGAAGATCTTAAGACGGAAGAAAAGAGAGAGGAAGAGAGAGAGAGAGAGAGAGAGAGAGAGAGAGAGAGAGAGAGAGAGAGAGAGAGAGAGAGAGAGAGAGAGAGAGAGAGAGAGAGAGAGAGAGAGAGAGAGAGAGAGAGAGTCGGAGAGAGAGAGAGAGAGAGCGGAAAGGAAAGAAAAAGTGTGTATACACTGGAAATGATAGTCAGCTGGAAATCGGATCCATTGTCAAACATGGCATTTGCTACTGTTGCATGTAGCCAACGAGCAATTGCGTAGGGTACTGCTGCAGCTTTGAAGGTCTCCAGCGTTGTGCTGGAGCGGATGTCTCCAGGTAATCTGTACTACGATGTGTTTTACTCTGAGCCAAATTTTCATGGCTCTGCGATGAACTGAAGCGCCATACCGTATTATCTCTAATATAAGCACAGTCTCCAATAATAGCACGTCTCCAATAATAGAACACCTTGGGGCGGCATTCAAAAAATAAAGTGCTCAGTCTCCATTATAAGCACACTGTGTAAATTCATTATCTGTACCGGCCAAAAAAACCCTGAAATGTGTGTGTCATACATGAATTTGGCATGTCAACATGCCTCTGAAATGAGGTTGAAATAATAATGGAACAGTCTCCAATAAAGGAACGTCTCCATTAATAGCACGGGGCGGAGGTACATTGAAAAAATAAAGGACCGTGCTTATATTAGAGATAATACGGTATACTGATGTAGCACTCGATATGAATTTACAAATTAGATTTTTAAGGAATTTACTGGGAGAATGCTACCTTGCATGCGCGTCACTACGGCAGTGTAATTTGGTGGTAGGAAACCAATGATGAACGCAGTTTGTAGAAGTGAGACGATTACGCCCTTGCAGGCAGTTAGATTCGCTAACCTCATGAGCCAATGAGTAGCACAGTTAAGAGCAACTGGTCCGGCAAACAATTCACTAGCCTGGCGTTGATTCGGTTTAAAATGTAATGTGTAAACATCTTTCACCACCTGTCAGATCTTCTTTTACGATAACTTTACCCCTAATACCCATAGCTATTTAATAGTACACGAAGAGAAGAAGCCAATTGCAAATTTGATGAGACCTTCCATACGGATATCAATTATTTATTGATATCAGCATACTGGCATATTGGCGGTAAATTTGAAAGAAGAGCTCAGCACACTGGGTAGAGGCGACGGTTTCAAATAGGACACGGGTTGCAAACTGGAACGGACTCAATATTCACTTTCTCTCTTGGTATTTTGATTAGAAAACATATGTCACAGTGAGACTACGATGTGTTATACTCCGAGCCAAAATGTCATGGCTCTGCGATGACCAGAAGCGCCATACCAAGCAGGTGAGTTTTTGACGTGTTGCTTCGCACTGCGACTTGAGTTTTACGACTTTCGAAAAATCAACTTCTTGTCGCAGGTAAACAGCGGCTCGCCTCTCGCCAATAAAGCACCGCATACCAATCAAAACTAATGGAAGCACACACAAGGCTTATTGTTACTCTGTACTGGCCGCCGTGGAGCGATAGCAATTACCTGATTTCAGACCCAGAGTGAATTTGACGTGCACTCTAAAACCTGTCCGGTTTGGAGCCACCTCCGATTTGAACTTTTTTGAAGCGAAAAATTGGGCAACTTGGAGGCAATGGATCAACACAAAGGAGTGGCTCAGTTCGATTGACTATGGCCCCAGAGCAAACTTCAACATGCCAGTTTCCTTCCACAAACATATTTCAAGTGAAAAATCAACGCTGATGATCGGTTTGGGTCTATACAAATTTGGCTGTCAAAGCGTTCCGGTATCGAACCGTCTACTCTACATCCTCCGGTGAAAGAAGAGCTATAAATAATATAGACATTTTGTAATGCCTTGAGAGAAAGAGAAATACAGATTTAAATAAAAATTCCTGTTCAGATTTTCACTTCTCTATTTCCTCAACTAGTGAACAGTAAGGTATGAGAAATCCATGTCAACAGGCCCGTGCAAAGACTTTTGTTACAATAGACATACTTGTAGTGAGAAAGGTCTGAGCCTACGCATGTGAAGAGGCGCACCACCCCGACTGGTGGAATCGTACAGGACCGACACAAACACAAAGGTATGCTCTACAGAAAATACAAAAATAAAAAAATATATATACTGAAAAGCTTCCGACGTAACTGGGGATGGAATATGTGGGAGTTAGTACAGCAGCAACTGGAACTATCAACGGACAGGGATGAAGACAGCACTCGAGAAAAGACGGGCTCGGCAGGGTACGACGAGTCGGAGGCCTCAGCCAAGCGAAAGCAATGCAAACCTAACATAGACCAAAAGCACGCAACACAGAACACAGAACACGCCATAATGAGAGCCAAGAAAGAAAAACGACATCACAACACGTGGCCACTATAGACATTGCAAAGAGGAATACCTCCAACAACATACACAGCAAATACACAAACCAAGGTGAAGAACCCCACAATTAAAAGGAACACACCACCTCGGCCAATACGACCGCACGAGAAAGACTACACTGAATATTTATTTTATTTTTTGTATTTCATTCATATTTTATTAGGGCAGTCCCCACAGATTCAAGGCCTTCTCACGGGTACCTTGAGAATGAAAGTAATGCATGTATATGGACATGCGCCATGCACAAATCAGAACGCAGTACAGTGAGATGGGCCAGAAAGAAAAGGAACGCACCATACAGCCGCCAGGAAAGCACAGACAGAACTAGAAAAACCCTCCTATATCCCACAGAAGACACAGACCCAAGAGACGAACTGCACAGCTTCGGAACGTACCTGATTTGAACACTCAGGCTTTGGTGAGACGGGGCGCAGGGACCATTCACAGGGAATGACAGCGGACACAGCACTGTAGCGTAGCATGACAACACACTGGCCGAATGGAGACAATCACGGTGGCACAGGGATCGCAGCCACTCCAAAGAAACTGAAGAGAACACCAGAGGAAAGATGCACAACACAGAACACATGGCGATGAGGACCAAGATAAAACACGACGCTCTTCAGTCCATTCATTGGAAACTGGCACCCTAACTTGTTGGTGTCTCCCGCACATAGTTGTAGATATCATGAAAACAACCTTACATTCTGCATTGTGTGACCCGTGCAATTACTCCTTGCCACATTTGAGGCCACAAAAGTCCAAGAACAGGGAAATAGAAATTCAGCCAGGTTTTGCAAACTTAGGACAGGTATGCCCTGGCAAAATGTATTGACAAGCAGATCCAAAACCCAGATTTTGGAGATTTAAAGTGGGTTTTTGATCCTCAATTCGGCCCAAATCCGACTTTCAAAAGCCAGCGGGACTGTTTCCGATGAATGGCCTGTAACAATACCCTTCAACCACATGATACAGCCTGTATGATGGAGACTGACAGAAGCCACACACCACGCAGAGCCCACTCCAAGTTATGGACCTCAGAACACAGGACACAGCACGACGAGAACAAGCAATGTATGGAGACGCAGACAGTGTGGCCTACAGGACACAACATGAAACAAGCACTACGTACCGACAGACTGGTCGACGCCGATGAGGCAAGTTGCACCCCTGAGGCAGCTCTGGATGCTAGAGCTCTACAGCCAGACCAACACCAATAAAAACAAAACAAAAGGGTGCAACACACGAGGACGCAAGTCAAAAAAAGATGTGTAAACACGGACCACATGCCACAGGAACGGACACAGAACAACAACTCAATCACCAACACCATAGACACTGCAAAATCCAAACAGGAGCAAAATACCAACTCACTGAGAACGCCCAGCATGAGGCAAACAAGGAAGCAACCTCCTGCTGATGTTCCACTTTGTGCGCAAGAACAGGTTGGCCAGAAGGTTCTTGCAACGTAGCTGCCGGAGTGACAGGCCAACAATTTGCTGCGCTGCACTGGCCACTGGATTTCAGGTCGGGGTGATCAAATATGGACGTTGAGGCCAACTGGACGAAGGATAGCGGGACGGCCCAGCATCACGTGCCTAGTGAAAGCAGGGGAAACAATAATTGAATTCCGCTGATTACAGTCCGCAGAAAATGTCCTAGGATTCCTTTTTTTTTTAATTTCAATGTCGTTATGAGCGGTTAAACTTATTTACTGCCCTATTTTATGGTGATGGCTGTAACTGAGAATTGAGGACGCCTGTAAATTGAGAACATTTGGCCTCAGTCCCTCGAGTGTCCGTAATTGTCTGGTTCGACTGTCTTACAAGTACACCGATAATAATATTCAAATTTCACTATCGTTCCCTCCCTATGATTCTTTATCATATGCCGAAGTCCCTTTCTTGTGTGCCTCCCTTATGTTATCCTCGACCAGACGTCTCCTAGTGATCCTGATGTTCTGCTTTACCAATCGTATGGGACTTTAAATAATTACGCCCTGCATTTTTTTTAAAATTTGACTGGTTTCGGTAGGATAGCTCCGCTAGGAACCAAGTGTCTCTTCCTCTAGCCCGCTCTTCCGCATTGCAACACTCCCGCCTTTTAATGCCTACTCGTAGTAGCTTTTGCAGCACCAGGAGACAAAGGGCCTTTCTACTTCGACTGCCTTTAGGAACGCCTTGCTTTAGACCACAACTTTAGTCCATATTGTTTTCTTTTCCTTTTCTTTTCGACTTCTTACTTTTTCTACCCGGAGTTGGCTATAAAACCCTGCGATCGCCTTGCAAAGTGGTCATTGACAGAGTGAATTATCCTCCCCTCGCCTTTCCTCTTGCATTATTGCAGCGCAAGTCTCTAGCACCCTGCTTTGCTGCAGAATCAGTCTAAAGGTTTCCGTGCCAAGCTAACAATGGTCTTATTTATTTTTACTAACAACTTAGCTACCTTGTGTTGACCACGGAAACCCCTCAGACTGAATAGTGTTCGTAGACTGGTAGTCTTGTAACGGTGTTGCCGAGTGTAGCACAGCTACAGATATTATTAGGAACACTGGAACATGTGCTCAGGGTTGGTGAGACTTGTAGAGGATTGCGAGTTTGCGTATCCTCAAGTGGAATCTACTGGCGTTTGCCGGTCATTGGACTAACTTTTTCTTTTTTATTACTATTAACACAGCCCTACTGTTTGTCTTCTTGCTGCATTGATGTGGATTCTGCAGAATAGTGGCAGCCAAGGGATTTTCACGGGAAATGTGATCGGCACCGGCCCATTGGGAAGGTGTTCCTCACTACCCCCAGCAGGAATAGAATCAGAGGAGTTGCCAAAAAAACACCTATGGATTGGAATGCGTACGACTGGGACAGAAAGTATCCAAAGCCAGACCAATCATCCGACAGCCGATCAGTCTTCTCCACAAGCAAGCCATTCCACAAGAAGAAATATGCAGTGGCAAGAGACCATTGCCCGCCCTGGTCATGACTTGTCCACTGCATGCCCTGTTACGTCATGGCCGAAGGACTAAATGCATTTATGACGGCTTATGCTCTAGCCCTAGTTGCTAGAAGAGCATAATTCATAAATTCACCTTCTCATTTCCCAGCGGAGACGTTTCTTGATCGAACCAAAGAAGAATCACTGGTGCCTGGTGAGAAGGGGACAATTAAATGGCATCTGACGCATTGCCAGACGCTTGATCCGAACTTCCTATTCCAGAAGAAGAGATACATGTATGCAGTGGCAAGAGACCATTGTCCGCCCTGGTCATGAGTTGTCCACTGCCCTGTTACATCATGGCCGAAGGACTAAATGCATTTATGACGGCTTATGCTCTAGCTCTAGTTGCTAGAAGAGCATAATTCATAAATTCACCTTCTCATTTACCAGTGGAGACGTATCTTGATCGAACCAAAGAAGAATCACTGGTGCCTGGTGAGAAGGGGACAATATAAAAGTGGCATCTGACGCATTGCCAGATGCTTGCCTCACGCTTTCTACTACCACTAAAAATGGGCAAGGGTAGTTTGCACCTGACGAAGCATGGTATACCAGGTATCAAGAGCCCCATTAGTGATTCTCGCTCCAGCTGTGAAGTCCTGAAGCAGTGACTACAAATGCCTGTCTGGCAGAACAATCTCGTCGGATAAGTTTCAAGCCGGAAACAGTTATAGCCGTTAGGAGGCATTTATGGGAGAATAGTATCTGCGTGAGTAGAGCTGTTTGCTCCCATGACGCAAGGGTGAGTTTCATGCAGACACGGTGGCCAAGTTCAAATCTGATCTAAAAATGAAAGAGGTCCCATCATGTGCTTCGGCTTTGGGGAAGCGTGTTCCAAGATATGGATATTACGCAGCCTTTGCCACAGCTGCACCTTGGATCTTAGTCAGTGACAAGCCAGCTGTATCAAATTCCCCTCTGGAGTCGATTAGAGAGTTGCAACCTGGTCTCAAGCAAGTTCTGGTTGATAGAGAAGACGCCGGCATTTGGACCAGTACGACTATTGATGGAATCAAATAGTTGAGGAACTGGTGATGGTGCTAAATCAGGAGCCCAAGCCCTCGAAAGCATTCTTTTGGACCTTTATCTTATTTGCCACTCAGTGTCAATTCCTTGTAACAGGTCAAGCTGGATTTGCAGGCCATGGTGAAGTGTACGGAGGAGATTAATCACAGAAGAAAGTGTTTGTCGCAGGGATGAGGATGAAGGACATAGTTCTCTTCTCCTTTTGTTTTGAACTTGAAGTGGTGAATGTTCTAACCGTAAATGTGCTGCCTGTTTTTCACCTTCCTTTATGTGTGTGTGTGTGTGTGTGTGTGTGTGTGTGTGTGTGTGTGTGTGTGTGTGTGTGTGTGTGTGTGTGTGTATGTGTGTGTGTGTGTGTGTTTGTGTTTGTGTGTGAGGCTGTGAGTGGAAAGGTGATTCTTGACCAGGGAGTTCTACGACTCCTTGTTCTTGACCTGCCTGGTACGCGAACCCGTCGAATTATTATTATTTGTTATCATGTGATATTAGTGGGCTACCGTTGACTTGTTACATACAGTAAAACCTGTGACTAACGACCAACCCTTGGGGCCAGAGAAAGCGGTCTTTAATGGCAGGTGGTCCTTAGTCAGAGGCTTGCACCGCACAACCACATGTGAATGTAAGACCGTCCGTGCCTGGCAAAGTGGTCTGTAGTAGCTAGTAGCAGGCTGGTCGCTAGTCACGGTGGTCTTTAGTTACAGGCTTTGCTGTATGAATGCGAGACCGTCCGTGCCTGGCAAAGTGGTCTTTAGTACCAGGCTGGTCGCTAGTCACGGTGGTCTTTAGTACCAGGCTGGTCCCTAGTCACGGTGGTCTTTAGTGCCAGGCCGGTCGTTAGTCACGGTGGTCTTTAGTACCAGGCTGGTCGTTAGTCACGGTGGTCTTTAGTACCAGGCTGGTCGTTAGTCACGGTGGTCTTTAGTGCCAGGCTGGTCGTTAGTCACGGTGGTCTTTAGTACCAGGCTGGTCGTTAGTCACGGTGGTCTTTAGTACCAGGCTGGTCGCTAGTCACGGTGGTCTTTAGTTACAGGTTTTACTGTACATGTCACGCATGGCAGGCCGTATCACTGGTTGACTCTTGGCCAGCATTGGGAGTCTAAGTCTAAGTCGTACGGGCGATTTTTGAGCCATTGTATGGGTGTCATAGTTCAGGTAACACACCCGAAAATACAGTACAATTTTCCGTGTGTATTTTCTACTCTCACATTTGTTTAGTCTAGTAGCATTCGTGAGTTTTGCCTCCGCCCGGTGCCCACATTTTCAATTTACCTTTTGTGTAAGCCCTCTACTTGCACTAAAAAAAATTAAAAAATTCACAGTTCGTGTCAGACTCGGCTAGAGGCCGAGTTTTCCGCATCCGTAGGAACGCCACCACCCTTCAAGAATAAAGGCGCAGATGCAGCTCCTAAAGCATACCTGTACTAGCCTGCTTAGAAATTCATATTCAAACTAATTGAAACGTTTTTGCAATACAATGATGTAGCCAATCAATGGAAAAAAACATTTCCATCAGTTCTAACATGCACGATGAGCTTGGCAAAAAAGCATAGCGTAGGGTCCAGAGCTTCCAAGCTCTCTCGTTTCCTTGTTCCTTGGTTTCATCTCCACTCTCCAGAACTCCGCGAAACGAGGAGTAAATGCACAGCCAAACTGATTCCATTTTATCTGATGGATACTCCTGCCAGCACTGGACAGCATGCGGCTAGCAAGTAAGTTCTGTCGCCTGTCGGCTTTCCTTTGTCACGAGACTCACGTCGGACTGCAGACTTCTAAAGAATGCATCGTCATCAGCATTCGAATCTGGGTCTCGCGCAGCTTGGAACAAGAAATTGATTTCAGAATCGTTTCGTTCCGCTGTGCGATTGGAGCAGCAGCTTGTTCACTCGCTCGTTGTGTGGGCTCGCTGCTCCATTCCATCGCTCTCTTTCACTCTCAAACTCAGTGCTGGAGAGGCCAAGCAGCGCAGTATGTCCTCGGAGACGTGGTATTTCAGTTTCGCTCGCCATGGCTGTCATCACCTACGTTGCCACAGCGCACTGATCGATTCTGCTCAGTTTGCTGTGAAAGGTCACTTTCCTCGAATCGTATCTCTTTCATGGCACGCCAGGGAAGGCCGAGAAAGTGATCGCGACTCATTTCACGGCGGTTTGTGCGCAAACCAGTCCCTCAAAAATCCATCACGACGTTTTTGCCAACGGAGGAACCACCACTACATGTACTTTCGGGTGCGGAGTAACTGGATATGGACATCATCCTAGCCTACTGAGTACTGAGTACTGAGTACTGAGTCCGCTCTTCTTTTCATGTACTACGGTCTACAGTCCACAATGGTCTATGCACGAGGGAGTGAGAACGAAAGAGAGAGGGACTGATCGAGAGAGTAGACGTCCATTGAAATACAATCATGTAGGTAAGTGAAGCAATGGCCAAACACACAACAACAAACCGTGACAGTACAGGGAAAGACACACACGGCGTGACGCCGACAGGGAGGTACGTACCCCGTTGCGATGTTCTTACTGGCAATAGCGTAGCTGGTGCTGGACCTTTCCTGTTCACCTCCGATAGATCGTTTTCATGACCGAGAAAACCACCACATCTTGGTAGTGAAAAGTCAAATGAAACCCCTACATGATCAACGGAGCTCCGGAACGACAAACCGACTACCGACTGGATCTCTTGAAAAGGCAGTGAACGCAGGGTCCACAGGACTGGTTCTACGCAAATCAAAAGATAATGGACGAGCGGCTGAATCTAAGATAACATTAACAAGTACAATAGTCATGTACTGTACATAAAGAGTAGACCTACGAGTTGTGTTCTCTTGTCTTGGCAGTCTCGTTGTGTATGGAGCACGCACACGCACGTTCTCTGCAACACGTGTCTTTGCCTGATGACACACCCACCGCGCCCGACCAAGCTATTCGCGAAGTGTTTTGGGTCCGGCGGATTCTGCCGGCAGAAAAATTGGCAGAATTCGGTACTTTTTCTGGTAAGTTTCATGCATGATTGGTATGTGGATAAAGAAATGGAGCAGAATTCGAGGAATTGCCCGCCATAAGGTTTGTATGGTTCTGCCAATTTCAGCCCTCACCATCGTCTACACAGATTTCAAAAGCGTCGACCTCCATTTTGAAAACATGGCGGCTAGCCGCGCTACCCGTGGGCGCACGTGCCCCCCGCGTGTCTTCGAGCTAAAGACCATGTCGCGTACTCGACGCTACTCATTTTCTTGTCTTTCCCCATTTTTTTTGAAACCAGCTCAGCTTTTGCTTCGTCTCCAACTCCAAGCTGTAGTCTGAGTTTGGTTCTCTTGTCTTCTTGCAGCAGAATAGTGCAGACTTTACGGCGCGCCGAGCTTCTCCTAGAGGAGCTCTTTTTTAGCATCGGCAGACTGTCTATTGTAGTTTAGCTGTGTCCTCAGTCCTATCTCGCCGTCGTCTCACGAGCGCGCGAATATCGAATGCAGCTGCACCTATTTTCTTGTCGTTCTTATTATTTTTCTGGCGAACTCATTCATCTGATGCTTCCTTTTTGAAAGCTTCAGGTGGCTGAGTTCTCCCATTAGCGACAATCATGCCGTGGAAAAGAACGGGATATTCCTCTCGCAAGAGAAAGAACGCAAGCTGGTTTTCCAATGCGACCAACCCTGCGAAGAAACAAAAGCCAGATGACGACCTAGACTCTAACAGTGAAGAGCAGTACCAGGAAGAAGATCCCATCGAAGAGAGCGTAAGTGGTGTTGATTCTTTGTAGCAAGTGGGAAAGTGGCCAGGTTATGCACGAGTAGAGCCGGTACATGCCAGGTATAATAGTACATGTTAATGTTTCCAGTCTAATTAATTAATTCATAATACGATAATATTCAATTCCACATAATTTTGTCTGCACAGCCAAATATCAACCCGTCATTGGAAAACGCCCACGCCGAACATATCCATCCCCATGAACATGATGAAAGTATTACAGAAGCCGCTCCGCCAGTTTCAGAGGACAGTCCGCACCATGACCACCAGTTAGCCGCTGCCGCAGGTAATTATAACTACGGTAATAATTATTATTGTATTGAAAATGTAAACGGCTGGCGATTGGCTCAATAAGTATAGAGGAACAACTGTAGTATCCCTGGCCCTACTTATAACCAACTCTTGTCCCACCGGTTACTCCTAAGTGCTTCTCCCAGCAACCACTTTAATACTTTGAAGTAGGACTACTAGACAACCCTGCCTGCAGACCGGTACGGCATGACCTGTATACATGTTGCACACATTCATGCTGTACTACATTACATTGATTCCTATAGCCCGTTCCTCATCACTAACTCTTTTGATTACTAGTTCTAAGATATGTTCCGCTTCTCTTCTTCTGCCAGATGTCTTCCCAGAATCCATGTCCTAGCTCGCACACAGTCAAATGGCTTTTCCAACCGCTGTCCTCTTAGTAACCTTCACGCCCAATTACCCTGCCTGCCATTCACATTAGTTTCCTTCATACTGTTAGATTGCATTCCTGTTACCTAATGGTTGCTCGCTACTTAGGTCCATTCTTCCTCCTACCTATTCCTTTCACGTTATCTCCTTGTACGTCTTCTCCTTGCACTACTATTTCTCCCCTTGCCATGTATATGCTGTCTATGCTATATAAGCCCTATCTGCTCTACCAGAGATAGATTTAACTCATAGCAGAGAAGAGAGTCCCTCCTGGCAGATTGAGCCGGAGCAGTTATATTCCGTTCAGAGTCCCTCCAGGCAGATTGAGCCGGAGAACATAATATTCACAGTCTTATTGTGTGTGCCTCCATCCGACTACTCGGCTACCCACTACACTGGTGGCAGCGGTGGGATTGCCTTAGATCACGCATATTACACTGGTGGCAGCGGTGGTTCAATTTTATAATTGCTAGATTCGAACCCACCTAGTATCTGTATTGCAGTGATGGCAGCGGCGCTCCAGAACTGATGGCAGCGGTGAATTGTTCTATTGGTGTAACCGGTACCAGCATGGCCCAACCTGATGCGTCAGTCGCCGCTACTCCTTCGCCCGCCACGTCTCCCCCTAACCCGAAATGATGACGGACAGCGTCTCTACCGATCAAGCTCCATGTCCAACGTAAGCTAATTCCCGATATGGCCTTTTCTTTCCTGTCTTCCTTCAGTCTTCCTGTTCTCTTCAGTCTTCCTTTATGCGAGTGTGTGAATCCAGTTTAGTTAGGTAGGCGTCCGATCATGGTGAGCCACGGTCTATCTAGCTAACCTGGGATAATGTGTGTTAGAGTGCCCTTTGTCCAGTTCAGTTTGGAACTGTGAACTATTTTTATGGCTCAAACGCCATGGTGGTACAGCAAGTGTGCTGTGAGTCCTATTTGGAGGACAATATTCCCTTTTGACCCCGTGAGATGGTGAGAACCTGGTGTGCTTCTATTTTTGATTTGTTATCAGTTCAGTTCTTCTGTCTACTCTAAAAACGTTATCATTTCCGATATTATTTGCCATATTCCGGTTGACGCTCTACAAGTAATACGCTATCTACTATGACGTTCACACCGCCTCCTATGATCTGCTGCTGAGCTCTAGCTACTACTACTCCTACTACTACTAGTGTCAATTGTCACCCTTTCGGCCCAGCGCTCTGTTCAAAATTCAAGAATACCTGTATGTGATTGCAAGTTAGATGTCCAGTCCACCTACTGACGGTGTCTTCCAGTGAGTAGTGCTCAGCATACAACACCGAACTCTCTGTCAAATCACGAGGGCGTGATTTAGTGTAGGAAGGGAGGGTGTAGTATCCCTGGCCCTACTTATAACCAACTCTTGTCCCACCGGTTACTCCTAAGTGCTTCTCCCAGCAACCACTTTAATACTTTGAAGTAGGACTACTAGACAACCCTGCCTGCAGACCGGTACGGCATGACCTGTATACATGTTGCACACATTCATGCTGTACTACATTACATTGATTCCTATAGCCCGTTCCTCATCACTAACTCTTTTGATTACTAGTTCTAAGATATGTTCCGCTTCTCTTCTTCTGCCAGATGTCTTCCCAGAATCCATGTCCTAGCTCGCACACAGTCAAATGGCTTTTCCAACCGCTGTCCTCTTAGTAACCTTCACGCCCAATTACCCTGCCTGCCATTCACATTAGTTTCCTTCATACTGTTAGATTGCATTCCTGTTACCTAATGGTTGCTCGCTACTTAGGTCCATTCTTCCTCCTACCTATTCCTTTCACGTTATCTCCTTGTACGTCTTCTCCTTGCACTACTATTTCTCCCCTTGCCATGTATATGCTGTCTATGCTATATAAGCCCTATCTGCTCTACCAGAGATAGATTTAACTCATAGCAGAGAAGAGAGTCCCTCCTGGCAGATTGAGCCGGAGCAGTTATATTCCGTTCAGAGTCCCTCCAGGCAGATTGAGCCGGAGAACATAATATTCACAGTCTTATTGTGTGTGCCTCCATCCGACTACTCGGCTACCCACTACACAACCATCAAATGCGCGAGTAATTCTCACGGCACATGCACCATAACCCGCTTGCAATTACCGGTATATCAGTTCATACATGCATATTATTACGATCTACATAATCATGGTACGTGGTGGTGGTACATCCACAAACAGCTAACGTTTGGATGTGCTGCTTGTGAACGTACGCTCATGCGTGTCTTGTTATGTGCAGACACAGAGAAGACACATACACAGCAGCCACAGCAAGTCACGATCTCAGCGGACACATACACAGCACTGATACAAAGTCGTCAGCATCTGCTAGAAGCAAACGCCAAGCTAGAAGCTAAAGCAAAGTCACTCGAAACAGCTGTCGCAGAACTACAGGCGGAATGCAAGCGGCAGACGGATCAGCTGCGTGGAGCACACAGCCAAGCAACAAAATTAAAAAAAACATTCAAAGACATGAAGGCATCAACAACAACGCATGGCACAGCTGTTCGGTCTGCTGTAGTGGTAGAAGATGGAGTGCGCAAGCACACGACTGGTTTTATGGCTGGTGTGAGGTTCATCAAACATGCTTGTATTCTGAGCAACCAGAAGGCTTCGCTTGCTCTCGACTTGTTTGGCAATCTGCTCATCAAAACAAACAGCGGGGACATGGGGTGGGAAGTCTCGCCGACAACGCTGAGCAGATGGAACGTGGTGCTTGGTGAGGTCGACCGGCTGAATTTATCGCACGTCTTGGCCACTGTCGACAGTGATGTATGTCTTTTTGCTGACGACTCCAATAAAGGCCATGACGAACGTCATATCATGGGTGTTCACGTCTGGTCGGCGCAGCAAAACAGGCCAGTTGGCTACATTCTGGCCAATACCGTCATTGCCAGCAGCAGAGGTAGCGACCAAGCGTCAGCCGACCACCACATCCTAACCTCAATGTTCGGTGTAAAGTCAGTGGCAACCGTCATGGGCGACAACGCAACAACGCAGTCCGGTGCAAAGAAAGGTCACGCCGTTGAGCTTGGCAAGCTTTTTGGAGGAAAAGTTACTTTCATCGGCTGCTACCCACATATTGTGAATATCGCGCTGAAGACGGCAATCGGCGATGGCTTTGGCGGCAGAGGTGGAATGAGTGATTTTAACTTGTACCAGCTACATTTTAAAGTTGCTTATGTCCACCACCAGCACCCATCATTTTACAGAGCCCTGTACACATCCGAGGGCATCTGTAAGAAGGCACCCAGTTTGCCCCAGGAGTTTGTGGAGAGCAGGTGGTCCTATATGTTTGAGCACCTGAGGTGGTGGTGGCAGCATGGAGACAGCTGCATCCAGATGGGCAAGGCAGTCCTCAAGTCTATGCCTAAGTCG